CCTGCTTTGGTGGCATTGTCCCCACAGCCACCAAAGGGGCAGTGCCAGGGCCCTGCTGGGCAGTGACTGCGAGGTGGGCACACTCCTTGGCCCTGGCGCCCAGTCCCTGTGCTCTAAGGGTGTTTAAGACACTAAGACTGATCCATTTGAGAGCTTTTCTGGATGTCCCTTCAGATGGGAATGCCGAGAGCATTCCACAGCCATGGGACAAGGACCAGGCTGGGGATGGAGGTCCTGATGTCCCCCTGGTCCTTGCACCTGCGTGCCCCCATCCTGGGTGAAGCAGGGGCACAGAAGGGACCCCAGGGAGCTCCCCAGCAGCACAAACCTCTCACAGGAGTGTCCTGGGAGCCAGGGCTCCTCCTCCCCAGCCTGGAAAAGCTGCAGGACCGGCTGGGAGCGGGGAGCACCTTCCTCCCACACGGCCCAGCCACGCTGCAATTTCGGGAGCTGTTGAAATCAGTTAACTCCTGGGGAGCCAGGGGGAACCCAGCGCCCCAGGGCTGGACAGACAGCCCGGTTCCCCTTCCTGGGCACAGCACCGCCAGCTCCAGCCCCGCCGTGCCCAGTTTAACCAGTCCGGGTGTCCCCGGGCCGCGGGGTCAGCGCGAGCCCTCGGCTCGTTAGTCCCGCTCTGGCTAATTACAGGGCTGGGGCTGTTCCCAGGCTGGCAGGGCTTGGGGCCAGGGGAAGGCCACGCTTTGGGGTCCCTCAGGACCAGCCCTGACACTTTGGGGGACCCCAGGAACATCTAGGGGGGCCAGGGCAGCCCCAGGGTGTTGTGATAGGGCTGGGGAGGCCCAGGAGGCTCTCAGGGGCTCATCCCCTCTGCATCCCCTATCCAGGTGTCCCATCCAGGTGAGCAGTGCTGGTTTGTGCAGCCCAGCCTCCCACTCATTACATCCCAGGCCAGCCCTCGCTCCTCCAATTCCTGTGTGCACCAAGGGGATCACGTCCCTGCTTGTTCCCCAAAGCTTGGGGGTCCCTGCACCCCTCGGGCTGGGATTTGGCCCGGCCAGGGCTGGGGCCTGGCGTGTCCCCCCTGTCCCCCCGCAGCACGTCCTGAGTCAGGCGCCTTTCCTTCCCTGCCAGGGCTCCCATCAAAGGCAGCTCCTGCCCGGCCCTGCTGGCTCTGTGAGCTCATAGCCCAGGGTGCTGTGACTGTGTTTTATTGTAATTATCGTTCGTGTTGAAACGCGCTGCTGGGGGAAGGCGGAGGGAGCTGCGCCCTCGCCGTGGCCCCGTGCCAGGGCCAGAAGTGCTGAGCTTTCACCTGTCCCAGTGCTGGGACCTCCAGAGGGGTGTGGGACCCCCAGAGGGATGTGGGATCTCCAGAGGGATGTCCCCACCCCAGGGCTGTCCCTGTGTCGCTGCCCATGCAGCTTTTGTGGATTTTCCCCTTTGGAATTAGAGGAGCCATGGGGAAGGACCTGTGGACCCTCACAGGGGTGTCAGGGGCAGGTTTTGGGGAGCTCTGGGTTTGTATTAATGGGCTTGGATCAGGGACTCGGGACCTTTGAGCACCTCAAAGCAGCCTGCTCTTTGTGGGGCTGCCAAAACGCCCATCCCAGGGATGCACAGAGCCCTGAGCCCTTCCACGGGGTGCAGCTCAGCCCAAGACCCTGCTGGGGGAATGGGGGGCACCGAGGGCAGCCAGGGCTGGGGGTACCGATGACAGGCAGTGCTGGGGGGCCCGGCTGCCCCACCCTGGGATGGGAAGGGGGCCAGGCAGGCCTGGAGCTGCCCGGACATGTGCGCAGGGAGAGACGAGGCAGACGAGAGCAGAGGTGCAGGAGAAGGTTTATTGGAGCACAGAGGCAACACGAGACCCCCTCCCGGAATGGGGGGGCTGCCTGGACCCCCCCTCGCCCCGGCCCAGCCCCTCACCTCCTCCTGCCGCTGCTCCAGCCCTCTGGGACAGGGGGTTTGGAGCTGGCACAAGCCAGACCGGACACCCCCACAAAAAAATGTTAAATAGCTGGGGGCTGGCAGCTCTCCGGGACAGAGGCACCCCCTCTCCCTCTTTTCCCCATCCCCAGAGCAGAGGATGGGGCAGAGGGAGGGAGGACCCTGCCAAAACCACCCCCACTCCCGGTATCCAGGCTGGGGGGGAGCTGAGACTCCTCCCCGCCAAAACCGACCAAAAAAAAAAATTAAAAACAAAAAAACGACAACCAAAAAAAAAAAAACCACGAAGAGATGCCGAAGGGTCTGGAGCGGGGCAGGGGACGCTCAGTTCTTGGGCTCTTCACCAGCCTCGCCGCCGTCTTCGCCGGCACACTCGGCTGTCCATAGCGTGAGGTTGTCCCTGAGCAGCTGCATGATGAGGGTGCTGTCCTTGTAGGAGTCTTCGCTGAGCGTGTGCAGGTCGCCCATGGCCTCGTCGAAGGTGGTCTTGGCCAGGGAGATGGCCTGCTCGGGGGCGTTGGCGATCTCGTAGTGGAACACGGAGAAGTTGAGGGCCAGCCCCAGGCGGATGGGGTTCGTGGGCTGCATCTCCTTTTTGCTGATGTCCATGGCCTCTTGGTAGGCCTCCTGGGCCTTCTCTATCGTCGACAGGCGGTCGTCCCCGCTGGCCACCTCGGCCAGGTATCGGAAGTAGTCGCCCTTCATCTTCAGGTAGAAGACCTTGCTCTCGGTGTCGCTGTCCTTCTTGATGAGATACTTGTCCAGCAAGCCCAGCACGTTGTTGCAGACGGCGTTCAGCTCCTGCTCCACCTTCTCCCGGTACTCGTTCACCACCTGCGCCTTGTCGTCGCCCTCCTCGGTCTTGTGCTCGATGCTGGAGATGACCCTCCAGGCCGAGCGCTGGCAGCCCACCACGTTCTTGTAGGCCACCGAGAGCAGGTTGCGCTCCTCGTTGGACAGCTCGTCGCCATGCTCCACCACGGCCTTCATGAAGTCGGCCATGTCCTCGTAGCGCTCAGCCTGCTCGGNGGAGGGAGCTGCTGCCCGTGGGGAAGCAGCAGGCACAGGAGCCGCCTCGTGCAGGACAAGCAGAGCATGAGGCAGGTGCTGCAGGCTGTGGACAAGGCCAATGGATATTCCTTCGGGGAGCGGGAGCAGCGCAGCCTGGAGGCGCTCATGTCGGCGGCTGTGGGCGCCGACTTCCACTTCTCCTCGTATCCTCTCTGCTGCTGGGCTCGGTTTCCCTCTCCCTGGGGGACAGAGGCTGAATCTGCAGGCCCAGGTTCATCCTCTGGTGGGTGACACACACGTGGGGAGTGGGGTGTGCCCAGCCCAGCCTGGGACAGACACCTGTCCCCACCAAACCCCCCAAAGGGTGGGAATCCATACTGTGAACTTGTCAGGAACCTTTTGACAACTGTCCTCTCTCTCACCTTCCCTTGGGTGGGTTCTTTCCTTCTCCTTCAACCATTCCATTGATTCTCCTGCACTTGTCAGGCCTGGGATCAGGCAGAGCCAGAAGTAGCTCAGGTGATGCTGCCTCTTCCCGATGGCCTTGGGGCTAATGTGAGGCTGGGCTGGTTCGTGCTGGGAACTTCAGAGCTCCTGCAGAAGGGAGTGTTTGAGCCCTGCCCCTCGTTTTCCTTAATTACTGCGTTATCAGCACCCTGGCAGTGCAGGAGAAGTATGTGCAATCTCAGGACAAAGCTGTGGAAGAGGAGGTGATGGATCTGTGACACGCCCTTCCCCGGCTCCTCTGTTTTGACACCTCTCCTTTTCCTACCCGGAGTTCAGCTGTGACTCAGAGCCATGGGAAACCTTTCCAGGCAGAGTCTGGACCCTCTGTGGGTAGGTTGGACCTCCCGAGCTTCAGGCCTGCTGCCCAGAGCAGGGCTTTGGCAGAAGGGAGGTGGCCGAGGGTCTTCCCTTAGGAACAGAGAGATTGAGCCAGGGAAGGCAGGGGGAGCAAGGAAAAGCAGTGGGATGAGGTCTCCTCCATCTTGATCAAGACAGATCCAGAGAAGAAAAATCAGCAGGAGCTGCCTGGTGCAGTGAGAGTGGAGGCAGCAGGCCTGGGTGTGCTGCGGGAGGAGCGAGCACAGGCCCCACACTCCCAGCAGAATCCAGGCCAGCACGCCTCCACGCCGTCCCAAGGACAGAAAGATGTTTGTTTTTCTTTTTCTTAGAAATAATGATGGACTCTTTCTTAATAAAACGCTCCTCCGTCTCACTTTCATCTTAGAGTTTGCTGAAGCTGAGTAAATAAACGCGGGAGTGCTGTGGAGCCCGAGGCCAAAGGGCCTGTGCCCTGTGCCCTGCTGGGAGCAGGCTCAGCCTGGCAGGGCTGGGGGCAGCAGGCAGGGCACAGCTCCTGCACCATCCAGGGCACACACACAAAGTGCCAGCTCGGCTCCTTTGGGCTGAGAGAGCCCCTGTGTGACTCAGCTCGTGGTTTGCATCTCGGGCCTTTCCCAGGAGCAGCCCTGGGTGTCCTCATCCTCCTTCCCTTCCCTCTCCTGGCCTTGCTCTCTCCAGTCCCAAATCCTGGAGCTTCTCCTGCTGCCCGTGGGACTCCCTCTGGCTGTGCTGCTGCAGCTCTGGGGCTCCCTTGTGCTCCCTGCTCTGAGCCCTGCTCCAGGCAGCAGCTGGGGCAGGGACTGGGAGGGCTGGGGATGGATCGGGGGCTCTGGGGGGAGACTGGGAGAGCTCGGGTGAGTTGGGAGAGCTGGGGGTAAATCGGGAGGGTGGGGGTAAATTGGGAGAGATGGAGGGTAAATTGGGAGAGTTAGGGGTAAATTGAGAGGGCTGGGGGTGAATTGGGAGAGCTGGGGGTAAACTGGGAAGGCTTGGGGTGGAATGGCAGGGCTGGGG